GGCTTCTTATTGGCTAGCTTTGTCTTAATTATTAACCCATTTCTATTAAACTATATATTTCCATGTGGTCTTGGCTTACCAGAGAATGCCTGACCTGTATCTCCTTTGGCGGCTACATGTTGTCTGTCTCTGGCAGGCTCTCTCCGCCTACCTTTCCCAGAATTCTCCTTGTCTCCTAGTCCCACCTATCTTCCTGCCTCATTGGCCAAACTGTTTTATTCATCAACCAATAAGAGAAACATATGTACAGAAGTATTTCCCCCATCAGTGCTCCTAACTGCTGAGCCATCTCTCTGTTTTGCTTTGTTTTTTGTTTTTTTTTTTGTTGTTGTTTTTTTAACACCCTTTGATTATATCAGTCTTCTGTGGCCTTCTATGGTTTGTCCCTCTGAAACTCATGTTGGAATTTAATCCTCATAAGGAGATAATAAGAGGTAGGATGGGATCTGGCTGAGAGGTGACCAGGGCTCTGCCCTCACTCATAGGTTAATCAGTCCACCCGTGCAATGAATGAGCTTGTGGGTTATCTTAAGAATGGGCTGACTTCAAAGCCAGTTTGGCCACTCTCATTCTCCCTATCTCTCACCATGTGATGTCCTGTGCTGCTTAGGACTTTGGCAACAGGAAGGCCATCACTGAGTGTGGCCCCGACCTTGGACCAGAACCATGAGTCAAAGTAAACTCCTTTTAAGTTATGAAGTCTACAACAGGGTGCAAGTAGCAACAGAAAACAGACTAAAACATCGTACTTTAAGTGTTCCTCAGACTGGGGCTGAGGAGATGGTTCAGACAGTAAAGTGACAGTCACACAAGCACGAAGGACATTAAAACCTGGTGGGGCATTGCACACCCACACACCTCCGGCTCTGGGTGGAGGGGCATGAAGAGAGATGAATCCCTGAAGCCAATTATCGGCCAGTCCAACCAAATAGATGACCTTCAAGTTCAGTGAGAGCCTGTCTCTCAAAAACTGATCTGGAGAGCTATCGAGGAAGACACCTCTGCCTACAGGTACTCACACACCCACACGTGTGCTATACTCACGCAAACGTAAGCACACAACACCTATACACAATTTTGCAACTATCTTTTTGTTTGTTTGTTTGTTTTTCAAGATAGGGTTTCTCTGTGTAGCCATGACTGTCCTGAGACTCACTCTGGAGACCAGGCTGATCTCAAACTCACAGAGATCCACCTGCCTCTGCCTCCCGAGTGCTGGGATTAAAGGCATGTGCCAGCAGTTCCAGGCCTTCCTGGTCTACAGCACGAGTGCCAGGATAAGTTCCAAAGCTCCACAGAGAAACCCTGTCTCAAACCCCACCACCACCAAAAAATAAATAAATAAAAAATAAAGGCATGTGCCACCAACGCACAGCCTCAAACTGTGGGTGTTTTTCCTATGTACCATGGGCCTATAGAGGCTGGAAGAGGGCATCAGATCCCCTGGTTGTGAGCAGTGCTCTTAACCAGTGGAAGCAAGTGCTCTTAACCAGCCTGTGTTATCTACTTTTATTTCACTGGGCTCTGAGGGAATATTGGAGGTCAAGAAATGTGTCTGGCTTTGAATCAGAAACTCTATCTTCTTTTCCTTTTTTAGGTAGGATCTCACTCATAGTCCTGGCTAGCCTGGAACTTTCTATGTAGACCAGGCTGGCCTCAAATTACAGAGATCTATCAGCCTCTAGAACATTGGATTAAAGAGGTGTGCCACCATACTCAGCCATTGTACACTCTAGCAGAGGTTTGTGGTAATGGCTTATTCATCAAAGTCAATGGAAATCTAAGAACTCTTTACTGACTGCATTGGCACAATGTCTCAAACATGGGCTTTCACATTCACTTCAAGGCCTGGTTTGTGAGCTGAGAGGGGAGGTAAACTGAGGAAGAAGACCAAACCACTTTAAGAAAGCTTAAGCATTGCTTGGGGGCAGATATTTCCTGGGGAACTGTCTAGCAACCTAAAGGAATAGGGCTTATGGCTAGTTAGTTTCTCATGGCTGAAAAAAAGCCAAAACCTGCCTCAGCCCCAGGTCTGATGAAGGGTAACCACACTCTTTTGAAGCTGCTCTCAGGTTTCCTTCAGCTCTTCTGTTAAGCTGGAAAACAACCTCAAGGACCAATGTCATTCCTCTCTCTGTGACTTCTGAATCTTGTCTAACTAATACAGAAAACCTCTTCCTCCCCCCACCCCCCACTCCACAGGGTTTCTCTGTGTAACAGCCCTGGCTGTCCTGGAACTCACTCTGCAGACCAGGCTGGCCTCAAACTCACAAAGATCCACCTGTCTCTGCCTCCTGAGTGCTGGGAATAAAGGTGTGCGCCACCACCGCCCGGCTACAAAACCTCTTTTAATGGCTGATGTGTAGTTTGGTGGTAGAGGACTTGCTTAACATGTACAGGCCTTGGATTCCATCTCTTTGCAAGAAAAAAGAGACATCCTGCCTTAAAGTTGTTTATTTACTCATTTGCTTGTTGTGTGTGCAGATACTTGCTCATGGGTGAAATTGTGGCATGCCACTGTGGTAGACAACTTTCAGAAGTTGGTTCATGCCTTCCACTTTGTGTCTTCCAGCGATTTCTTTTCTTCTCTGTCTCAGAGTTTTCTGTATAGATGTTCTGATCATTTCCACAACATTTTGCTTTTTTGCTTTTTTTTGGTTTTTCGAGACAGGGTTTCTCTGTGGCTTTGGAGGCTGACCTGGAACTAGCTTTTGTAGACCAGGCTGGCCTCGAACTCACAGAGATCCTCCTGCCTCTGCCTCCCGAGTGCTGGGATTAAAGGCGTGCGCCACCAACGCCCGGCTAACATTTTGCTTTTTAAAAAATGAATTTATTTATTCTATGTACATTGGTGTTTTGCCTGTATGTATGTCTGTGTGAGGTGTCAGATCCCCTGGAACTAGAGTTACTACAGACATTTGTGAGCTGCCATATAGGTGCTGGGAATTGAACCCAGGCCCTCTGAAAGAGTAGCCAGTACTCTTAACCACTGAGCCATCTCTCCAGCCCCCACATTTTGCTTTTTATGAGGGTTCTAGGGACCTAACTCAGGCCACCAGGCTCACGTGGCAAGTGCTTTCACTCAGTCAGTTCCCTAGCTCCTAAACACCTTTTATCGATCACAGAGATTTCAGAGCCTAGGACTCTGTTCCTGGCCCACCATGTGGAGTCTGGGGGACTTTATTGGGTGTTGGGTGGACATGGCTCTTGTTAGAAGCCTTTGGAAATTTGTAGTAAGTTCTAAGGTAGAGCTTTGGTTTGCCTAGCATGCACAAAGTTTAACCTCAACAGAGATTTGTTGTTGTTATTTTGTTTTATTTTTTGAGACAGGCTTTCTCTGTGTGACAGCCCTGCCTGTCCTGGAACTCAGAGAGATCTACCTGCCTCTGCCTCCCTAGTGCTGGGATTAAAGGTGTCTGCCATCACTACCCGACTCCAGCAGAGATTTTTTAAAAAAGAAAAATGCTGGGTTTGATGTCACATGCCTATGATCCCAGCACTTGGAAGACACACATAGGCAGATCTCTGTGAGTTTGAGGCCTGGTCCACATATCAACTTCCATAGTAGCCAGGGTCACACAGTGAGGCGATCTGAACAAACAAAAATAGCAGGGGCGGGGCTAAAGAGAGGCTCAGCAGTTAAGAGCGTTTTCTGAGGCTGGAGAGATGGCTCAGTGGTTAAAAGCATTTGTTGCTCCTGCAAATAACCAGGCTTGACTTCCAGCACCTGTAACTCCAGTTCCAGGAGATCTAACGCCCTCTTCTGACCTCTGTGGGTACCAGGCTTGCACACTGGGCACATATATACCTACAGGCAATATTAATACGCATAAAACAAAACATGTAAGTATTTTATTTATTTTTATTTCATTTGCATTGATGTTTTGCCTGAATGCATGTCTGTGTGAGGGTGTCAGATTTTGGAGTTACACATAGTTGTTAGCTGCCATGTGGGTGCTGGGAATTAAACCCAGGTCCTCTGGAAGAGCAGTCAGTGTTCTTAACCACTGGCTGAGCCATCTCTCCAGCCCAAAATATATGCCTTACAAAATAAATAAACAAACAAACAAATAAATAAATAAATAAAGCACTTGTTGCCTTCCAGAGGACCAGAATTTGGTTCCTAGCATCCGTATCAGGTGGCATTCGATCATTGTTAAGTCTAGTCCCAGGGAATCAGATGCCTCTGGCCTCTGAGACCACCTGCACATGCGTGCG